TGTCTGCATTTATAGTACAGGAGACCATGCACAAAGTGGGCCAGTATCTTAAAGGTTATTGGCTGAAGGAGTTCCAACAGTACCTCCCTCTCTTGTCTAAATAAGAGAGTTCTAAGCCTAATACAAAACTATACACAATAAAAACAAATATAAAGTATTATCCAGGGAAAATAAGAGGTAAAAACATATGTAAAAATTAGAATTACAACCAACATGAACAAGAACAAGCAAAAAACATATGCTATGTTTCAATAGCCAAATATCAGGCAGAGTGTATAATTTCATACTTTTCTCTAGTGATGTAATATAGTATATATAGCCAAATATAAGGGATATGCCTGAGAGTAAGTTTATTGTGGAAAACTGAAATTATGTGTGCAGAGTAATTGAATTCTCATTAAATAAATAAAGCACTGATATGAGAATAAAAATTAAATATTGTTCAAGTAATATAGAGAGAAATTTTTAATGTCTAAAGCTTTATATATATGTAATATATTGATCAGTAATGTATAAATGCGTTAGTCCTTATCATTTAAAATATTGTAATATATAAAATTACTCAAGAAAAAGTAGAATTGGAAACATATATGAATTAAAATCCACATTTTATGAAAGATAATCTGCATAAATCTTTAGTAATATTTGGTAAATTGAGTTGTATATTGTTAAGTTCCAGATAACCAATAAATGATGTAAATTAAAATATACTTAGTAAATATAAAAGGCAATAAAGAAAGATAAAGAAAAATAAAAGGTCATAATAAATAGATGTATATAAAAGAGCTGATATAATTTCATCCATGTGGGTATAAACAATAATTTTTAATTTAAAGTTATAAAATACAAAATCATGAGATGGGTCACAAAATAACATATTGGATTTTAAATAATGATTCCAGAATTTACTTTTTATGGCAGATACAATTTTGTTCCAATAATATAGAATGAAAGGATAAAAATGCATGCAATGCAATAACAGAAAGCTAATGTAGATAGTAGGCATGTCAGAAAAAGTAGATTTTAATATTAAACACACTGCTATATATATAAGCCTAAATGATTAACCTTCATAATTGCACCAAGCCCTCAAGAGGCCAACAGAATAATAAAAAAAAAAAGAAACAAAAACTGACAACTGAAATAAAGTACGAGGTAAATTTAAAAAGTGTTGATGTTAATAATTCACTTTGTATAATAGGAAAAGCATCCTAAAGGAAAAATAAATATACTTGATGTCATCTAGCCTAGTAGACCCCAAGAGAATGATCTACATCAAGGTAATAAAATGCACAGAGTGTGACTTCTGCATGCCATGTTATGATCAAATAGTTAATATCAAGAACGGTTATCTCTTCCTTTCTTTTCCACCAAAGAGAATGAAAATAGAAGCTGGAAAGATCCTGGGAGGTTTCAAACTAAGGGTTTGTCAACTGAGAAAGTCAGAGGAGGGAATATGGGAGGGGTGGGCCTTCCCAGTGTGCTCTGGAAACAGGCTGTGGGCTCCAATATATGCGATGACCAAGAAGAAGAAGACATGGGAAGACTGCCCTTTACCAGAACGAATCATTAAGGATGATAAACTTCAGAAATTGAGGGCAAATTAAATCCATTCATTTGTAAAAGCAAATTTCATCAAAATCTGTCACGTTCTTCAATCTTTTAGAGAGAGTCAGCTGAGGGAAAGGAGGACATGGCTAACAAAGAGGTAAACATCTGATGGTTCCTTCAGGTAGTTCTGCACTTGGAGGAGAAAGCGCAGGCTATTTGTTGATGGGTTATGGCAGGGGCTTTGAACAGTGAGAAAAATCTCACTGCTCAATTCATACATGTAGTTGACGCTGTAGTGCAGGTGTATGAATAATAATCTCACTGCCCAGTTCATACATGCAGTTGACGCTGTAGTGCAGGTGTATGAATAATAATCTCACTGCTCAGTTCATACATGTAGTTGACGCTGTAATGCAGGTGTATGAAGAATTAAGCCAGGATGGGTTGGGCCACAATGAGATTCACATTGCACAGTGATATCTTTTATATTAATAGAATTTGGCTTTACTGTTCAATAATGAGGAAAATTGGGTACTATCTTACTCAAATTAGCAATGCAATATTTCAGGGACTTATCTCGGACTTCACCCGGAAAGATGACTTATCCTCTAAAAACTAATTTGTAGCACATGAAAAGTTAATCTTATATTTCTAATGTTATGTATCTTACACAATCAGCTCCTCTTCTTTGAACAAAGGCTGCTGTTTTCAAATGAATTGATGTGGAATTGTTCATATATTTTAAAAGCAGAGCAGCTGTGCATGAGTAATGTTATTATGATAAATGCTATGAGAATTCATAACAAATTGGCAACCACCATTTTCTTCTAACAAAATAATTTATCACTTTTTAATTTCTTAATTCATAATGAATAATTACCAAGATAATTAATCCCTCTTAAGCTTACTGAATTCATTAGATGATTTGATTTGGTTCATTGACCACGCTACAATACATATGTAAAAACTATATTTTAACTCTGCAAATTAGCTCTTCTTTTCGGAACATGAGGGTTGGAGATGGTTTAATACGTAATCTGCGTGACTATTTTATGTGTTTCCTTCCCCTTGAACTTTAATTAACCTCTCCGAGTTTTGGTCATAAAAACCTTCAGCACTGTTCTAATATCCTGCAGATGTACAATGCAGAATCCTCCTTTTGGTTTAGATTGCCAAATGGGATGGTTTGATCATATTCTAACCCATTTTATTTCCCTCCTATTACTCAGAAGAAGCTTCAGTGTGGGGCTTACATTCAAGGCTGAAGATGAGAGGAGGACAATTACCCTGTCACCTCTGAGATATTGTGCTGCCATTTAACTCTCGGGTCATTATTGAAATTCAGATACCTATGCTATGTTTTAAGACAGGATCTGTTTTAAAAGTGTAAGACTTTGCTGCATAATTTTTTTTATAGTGTTACTAAATTAAGACGTTTTCTAGTGTTTAAGTGCCCTTTCCTCATTAATAACAGATGCCTTGCTCATACCATGCCACTCCCTTGAGTTCACAAACGCAATCCCCTACTCTATCGCCACAATTTTAGGGGCTGCCATCTTAAACAGTGATGTCAAAGTGACAGTTAGTAGGGTAAGTTTATATAAAATAGCTCAAGAAAAAAATAGTTAACAGTTTTGATTGAGAGTGTTCAAAACTTGCTACATGATTTGAAGAATATGTTATTTTTTTTTTTAAGAAGGAAGAGGAAAAACAGAAATGGATCTTTGGCTCTCTGAAACCAAAATATTTGTGTGTAGTGTTAAGAACTTAATGTTTAGCAAGTTTTCCTTTGCCACCAGAATACCAACTTCTGATTAAAATTTACCTGTATGTAAATTATGTTTCATTGCCTCTTATGGATCACAACATGAGATAAAATGATACCATCTTAAAATTTACCTTCAAATTTGACAATATCTAGTAAGACATAATTTTCATTCAGATTCAAAATATCATAAATGACCATGTGTTTTTTTTTTTTTTTTGAGAGAGGGTTTCTCTGTACCTTTTTTGGTTCCTGTCCTGGAACTAGCTCTTGTAGACCAGGCTGGCCTCAAACTCACAGACATCCACCTGCCTCTGCCTCCCGAGTGCTGGGATTAAAGGCGTGCGCCACCACCGCCAGGCGACCATGGGTTCTTTAGGATAGTTTAGGCTTCCAACAAATGTAGGTCGGATAATTGCTTGCTGAAATATGCATTGTGTGTGATTATAGCAAGAAATTTGTAGAATGAGGACTGGAAGTGTGTGCATGTGCGTGTGTGTGTACATTTGTGTATGGTATATGTGTACACACATGTTCTGTGGGTGTACTTACCCATGTGTCTTCTGTGGAGGCAGAAGTCAAGGTTCTATATCTTCTTCTATTACCAGCCACCTTCATTTGAGTCAGGGCCTTTCCCTAACCTTAAACTCAGTGATAGGCTCGTGTGAGTCACCAGCCAGCCCCAGTATCCACCTGCTGTTTACTAGACTTCCTCTCTCAAGCACTAGTGTTGAAGGCACTGCCACCAGGTCCAGATTTCACATGGGTGATGGGAATTGAATTCATGGAGAGAAATCACAGGAAGCATCTTTATACACTGAGCCATCTATGCAGATCCTGTAATGTTGACATTTTTTCTCTATTAAAACACTGTAACTGGGTATCAAGTAATTAAAAATTATATATTTTTGAAAAAGGGTAGCCAAATCCCTTCACTCTTTTGATATTTTTAGTTTTGTTTAATTAAAGACTATATTGTGTAACAATAAGCAGCTATCATTTAGTCCTGATGAACAACCAAAATAATGAAAAAGATTTGTTTTTGCTTGGGAGTTTTCTGGAATATTAATTACCAATATCTCATAAAAGTTTTTCGTTATCATCATTGTATATTTTGTATCATAATTCATTATTTCTTTAAGCAATATTTACCAGCTTCACAAGTAACTTCTCTTTAAAAATATTCTGTTCTTATTATAAGATTTATGTGATTTTATAATACACAAACTATGATGTATATAATTTTATAAAATATTGTACTTTTATAATAATAGATGACTTATAATAATACATAAATTATATGTAGTTTATAAGTATAAGTATAATATGTTAGCAATAATAAAACATTTATCTGAGTAATAATGGTTCATTTCTCTTTAGGTATAATTTGCTTATTCTTTGAACTATTAAAACTTGTGTAAAATACATTTTGACATTATTTTCCCTCCCAGTAGCTCATTGAAACTCCCCTTAGAACCTGTCAAACTGTCTTCCTACTGATTTCATGTCTAGGATCAGCCGAAGAATCATGGGGATGTAGGCCACTTCACAAGGAATGTGTTTCGCAACCAACAAATATATGGTCAAACTGATTTGACTTGTGCTAATAATAATAACAAAATTATAAACAGTATTTTCAAATTTGTTTATAAATAGTAGCTTTTTTTATGTTTTTCTACCTTAGGTTTGATTAAGACCCTCTGTGTCAACCCATCTCCTCAGTCACTGAAGACACTGTACACTTTAGATACATGATCTAGAAAAGCCCAAGAAGAACCGAGCTGGAAGACTGTGACTGTGCAGATCTCTCAGAGTACCAATTATACGTGGGGGCTTGGGAAGAAAGGCAAGGTGCATTATCGAGCTTGAATTCTATCACCTTTGGGAATAACCTACTAGCCAAGATGTGCCCTCTCATGAAACAGTGCTCTCTGATAGGATTTGAGAAACACTCCAAAGGAGAGAATATGTAAACCTGGCCAATGATCCATGGCAGGGTAGCTCATAGGCCTTAGGAAAGAGCGGATTGCTGTTGTTTAGTCAACTGGCATAGTTTCAAGCTACCTTCTAAACATTTGTTTCATATCTAGAGACTTTTATTGCTCTTTGCCTTAATTCTCTTTCAAGATAATGTTGCTTAGTGAAGAGATTCCTGACTGTACAGCATTCATAAAATATGTGACAGAAAATACTTACTAAACAAGATATTTACCACCACCCCCAAGGCCCAACTAACAGTACAGAAATGAAACCAGAGAGAACATAGAGTTAGAAAACATAGAATATGCTTTGAAATGCCATCTCCTGTGCAAGTCATAACTATTGCAAACATGAACTTGCAGTAACTTTAGATGCCCGCCCTGGGTCCGCATAAGGATGGGTTCATAATAGTTTACTAATAGTAAAAGAGGGATGAAGGAGGTTGCAGGAGTCATTTTCATGTGTAGCTTTTGTTAAATTTCTCTTCAGTTTTATGTTAGCATGACTTTATTTAACCACAATCATTTAAGCTGTTTATATAGCTAGAATATAGTTCCATTATTAAGTGTTATTAATGTAATCAATCATGAGCATTAGTAATGTGAAAAATAATAAAAACTTGAATAGTATGCAATATATTCTGGATATGATATAATTCATCATAAAGAATCCTTCACATATTTATACTTTTCCCATTATGTGTCACTGATTTTTGAAACAAAGATTGAAGCTCAGTGCTGGTTAACAGTGGGATGACAACAGTATATACCTTAATACAGCAGATATGAAGGAATAAAAATATGAACTTGTTTATTGCATTTTCTCTGTTCTATAGAAATGAATAAAAATAAGGCCAAGGTATTATGTGCTTGATAATAAATTATCTAAACACTTAAATATTTAAAGCACACAAAATATTGAGAGCTCGGTGGCTGGAGAGATGGCTCAGAGGAATAGAGCACTGGCTGCTCTTCCAGAGGTCCTGAGTTCAATTCCCAGCAACCACATGGTGGCTCATAACCATTTGTAATAAGATCTGGTGTCCTCTTCTGTACTGCAGGATACATGAAGGAAGAAACCTATATACATAATAAATAAAAATATTTAAAAAAATATTGAGAGCTCCTTGCTGTCAGTTTGTGAAGAACAATCTATTGCCTTGATAACAGTGTGGGTTGTTTGTGGAATTCCCATCTGGCCCCTTAGGTTAACAATTTATTAGTTGTAAAACCCAGTGCAGGTACTGGAGGCTTTATTTGGAGAAAAGGGATAGGCAGGTGGGACTCTGTCTCCCTCGGTTATTTGGTTATCTCGTTTAGATTGCCTGTACCACCAAACACCTACAAAAATGGAAGCATCAAACTGGGAATAGCAAAGGGGTTAACTGGAGTATAAAGAAGAAAAAAGAAAGTAATGGCGATGATATACGCATATACTCTGTATTTGTATAACTATTATGATGATACCCATAATTAATATATGCTAATAAAAATATAAAAATATTAAATTAAAAAAGCTTTAAAAAGTGAATCGAGGTCCAGGAACAAGTTGTTAATGAGTAACAATTTTACATATATATTCTGTGGTTTTTTATTTATTCACAAATGTTTTTGTCATTCTACCAGGGGCTTTTATTATATATGGTAGTTATAACTTATATACCCATGAAAATTAAAAAAAAAAGATAGTGGAGAGTTCCATTTCCCACACTGTTAGCAGCATCCAGAATATAGAGTTCATATACACTTCGGGGAGTAATGCAGAATTTACCGTATGGAATAGACTGAGACTGTGTCAGGAAGCATAGTAACTAAAATTCTCCTTGCCATTTAGATTGATGAATAGGCCTATTCTTGATTTCCATTCTGAATAATAAATTGAACTTTCACAGTGAATTTGTGTAGTGACAATTCCAGGTTTGGCATTTTAGAGAAACATATGCTTGGAAAGGGGTTTGGCTGGAAGTCAAATGTAAGCTCCTCTGAGTTATTCGAGCCTAGGGAATCTCTTCTAACACAGAAGTGCTTTAGGAAAAAAAAAAAAACATTTAAAACAAACAGTCTGAGGACTACAGGAAGGTTCAATTGATCTTCTCTGGTGATTATCCCTGGGCTGTATTAGTCACAGCTTTCTAGGATCTGCCACATGTCACAGGGAAAGACAGAGACAGAGAAACAGAGAGACAAACAGACAGTGATCTTCTGCAAACTTATGACTCAACAGCCACAGGTTTCCTGAGAACTCACATAATCCAGTTATGTTGATGAGGCTCATGTGATCTCACTATGTTGACTATGGAAATCCTTTCTTGAATTGCTCTATACACCGTGCCAGGTATACTGAGACACAGAATATGGAGATTTTAATGATTTACTACCCTAGAAAAACACAGGAGTCCTTCCTTCATCTTCTGTTTATGACACAATCTCATCAGCATTCTGTGCTCAGCCCAGCAGGCAAGCACTGCATCTCCTTCTGTGGCATGGAGAAGCCTTGTTTTTAATATTACTATCCCCAAGGTGCATTTGGTTATAGAGCAAAATCTTCCCTTCTCTAAGCAATTGCATTTAAAAAAATAAATCAATTAATAATTCATAAGACACATGTATTATCTCCGTGGTTTAAGCAGATAGAATCCTTAGAGCATTTGAAAGACATTTTTCTTGAAATGTGACTATATCACTATTCATTTGTACAGTAACATTGACCATCCTCTGCTTTCAAAGGCGTTTTTCATGAATTCCACATAGCATTTCTCTAATTCATAGAGAAACAAGTGTTAAACTGCTCCGAAGAAGAAGCACTGAGCCAGTGCTTGCTACCATTCACTCTGTGGAAAGAATTGTTTCCCAGTGTTCATGCCAGTGAAGCAGCATGGGGCAATTGTCCCCCCACCAGGGGGCCAATCCCTGATGTGTGAATCTTGGATGGGCAAGGCCCTGAGACCACAGACTCCAGAATATCGTTTACTTCTGCTGTGCCTTTACATGTTTATCACTGCCATCTTTCTCTGGTACCTGGCATGGTGTGAGTGGGTGTGGGAAGATCCCCACTGCCTGCAATGTAGTATGCATATCTCACGGAAACACCCTGTTCTACTGGGCATTTTTTTTTTTTTTTTTTTTAGTTTTTCGAGACAGGGTTTCTCTGTGGTTTTGGAGCCTGTCCTGGAACTAGTTCTTGTAGACCAGGCTGGTCTCGAACTCACAGAGATCCGCCTGCCTCTGCCTCCCGAGTGCTGGGATTACAGGCGTGCGCCACCACCGCCCGGCTCTACTGGGCATTTTTTACTGTGGACTCTTATGAAGATGATTTCTTCCTAAACTGTAGTGTGTAATTGATAGTACTAACGTTAGTTTAAATAGAGTTTTGATGACAAAAACTAAAAACAAGGAAGTGTCACACAGGTGGAACACATAATTTCAATTGAGCAGCTATATTGACTGTGGTTAAGGTTCATGATTAATGAAAACAACTGAGTCTCAATAGCCCAGCCAGTTTAAATTCTTTTATTTTTAATGTTGGGGAATGTGCGCACAGGTTTCGGGGCACATCATAGTTGAAACAAAACTTTGAAAATAACTAAAAAATAGACTAAGATGTTTTTAATAAATAGCTTTGAGGTGAAAAACCCAGGAAGACAATCTAAAGTTTTTAAAAGGCACATAGTTGAGTGAGGAACTCTTTAAGGCCAGGAAACAAGAATAAAGCAGCTAAATTATCATTAGCTGATGTGCATTTTTTTTTGGAATTGGTTGATGACCAGAGAAGACTATTAAATCCCTGCACCTATTTTTTGCCCTTAACCTGCTAATGTAAAAAAAACAAAAAACCACTATTGATGAGTGGGTATGTACACTGAAGATTTAAAGTATAGCTTACTGATTATTTTTATGTATAATAGTTTAGGTTTTAATTCCTTTAAGATTCTTTGTAAGATTACCTATCAAGATAAATAATGTAGTGATTGATTCTTTTTGTGTGTGTGTAAGCTCAATATGCAGCCTGCTAGCAAAAGAAATGCCTGAGAAAAATGCCCTGTTTGCTCAAACTCTGTTAATCTGTAACATGTTTACATGTATGTGAGTTCTTGGTATGACCTTGTTTTAATCATGTAAAGAAGGTGAAAAATATATTTTTACCTGCATTCATTATAATCATTCACTTGAAAAATAGAACACAACCATATTGTAACTTTTGTATCGCTTAAAAGATTTTGCTGGGGTATATAAGCTGTAAATAAAAAATTAGGGAGATTGAGAAGGAAAACATCAAGAATGATAAAATTAGGGTGAAAATATTAAAAGATTTAGGAGGAAACATCAAGAGAGACAGAGGGATAGAAATAAAAAAAGAGAATATAAGACATAGAATAGAGTACAAAATCAGAATATAAAAGAAGAAAAATTTTGTTGTTGTTGTTTTTGAGACAGGATTTCTTTGTACCTCTGGTGCCTGTCCTGGAACTAGCTCTTGTAGACCAGGCTGGCCTCGGACTCAGAGAGATCCTCCTGCCTCTGCCTCCCAATTGATAGGATTAAAGGCATGTGCCACCACCACCCAACTAAAAGAAGAATTTTAAAAAGGTCTGAAGGAAATCATCCAGAAAGTGTGTGAGTGTCTTTTCCCACAGATTAAAAATGTCGTAGTATGCCAACTCTGCCAACTCTGTGGATTTCCCTTTGAGCCCTGTGCTGCTGGAGGCTGGCCCTTCAGGCAGCAGAAAATTTTAGTCATGCATTAGATCTGTTTGACATGCTTCTTCCCACATGTTCATATTTCCACAGATATTGGACAGGTAGACACGAGAGAACCCTGAAACATGACAGATTTTTGTCACTTGTATTGGTTTTCTGAGACAGTTAAAGGATTGAATCACATGATTTATGATACCACAGACTATGGTTGTCGGAATGCAGAGAAAGCAAGAACTGAGCTGGAAACATCCTTCTTGCTGGGTAGCATAGAATGTTCCCAGTGCTGGGCTTTTGGGAACAAAAGGGCATCATCATCTTTGGCTGTCTTGGGAGTTACTAGCTACCCTTTCATTGGATCCTAGGGCTTCTCTTCAGGTGAGAAGAACCTACGCCAGCTACTATAAGCCCAGTTAGCCACTCAAGTCTTGGGAGGTCAAAGGCAAGCTGAGGAAGTTATTACTCTTATTGAACTAAACTGACAGTATATAACTGCTTCACAAATTTAAACATTTGTACCCACAGACAAAATCTGCCTTCCAGCTGTAATCCAGAAGCCTGTCCTTTCAATGAACTCTGATGAGTACAAAGATTCATGGCTGACCCAGATGCAGAGAATAAATGACCGCTTGAGGAAGACCCATAAATAAGACATTGCTTCTTCATCCTCTAAGGTTCAAGGGCTATTGTGGAAGATGAGAAAGAAAAGATGTAAGATTGGGTGTAGGGTTACAGAGTGCCATTCTCTGCACTTGATACAAGCATTCACACACTACAACAATGCTTAATTGCATTGGGACTACACAAGTCTAGGCCGATCAAAGACGAATTAAGAACAGTGGATGTGCACAGGAAGTCCAGTCTTTTAACATTGAACCATTGGCCACTGACAGATTAAGGGAGAGAAAGAACCACTGTATTTAGTTATGTTCCCTGTGTTCAGCTCAGCAGATCTCAGAGAATAGATCCATATGCGCAGTCACACAGACAAGCCTTGTTGGCACAG